CGCTGCTGGGTAGGATCTAGTAAAGAGGAAAATTAATGATGTGGGAGCCAAAGGGGACCGTTGCTGGAAGAATCATCTTATTAGGCGCAGAGGGATGGACTCTGTGCCAAGGTGGGTGGCCGGCCTTGCACAGGAGCATGGACGGCCCAGCTGCAGGAAGCAGAGGGCAGGTGGGGGTGTGGCCGGGATAGTGGGAGCAGGTGGCAGGTCTTGGCTGAGAGTTCTCTTTTTTCAGGGAAATAGGAAGTGGGCCACCAGATGAGATGGAGGATGGGGGGCTTGAGAGAGAGGGTGGGAGGGAGGGACAGCGAACGGACAGGGAAGTGTTTGTGGTTTCCCAGGCTCCCGAGGTCCGGAGCAGAGTGTAGGTTTAAAGTGAGCCAGTCAGAGACGTGGCATGTGTCCTTCAGCTCTGTGCAGACCCCCAGAGCTCGGGGGAGAAAGTGGAGGGTTGCAGCAGGGTAGGGAGTGGAGAGTGTGTGTAAGGGAGGGGTTGGTAAGAGGGACCTCTGCATCTTTGCTGGAGGAGGTAAGCGAGGCCAGGAGGGGAGTGAGGGATGTGAAGAGATGGACTAGTCCTGCAGGTTGCAGAATCCTGGGCGTCAGGGTGCTGCAGGGAGTGACAGGAGGTGACAGCTGGACCTGGGGTGGTTGGAGGGTACTTTTGGAGATGCTGCAGTTTCTGGTAGCAACGTGGTCTGCGATAGACCATGGGAGTGAGAAGGCCGTGACCTTCAGGAGAAGAGGTCAAATAATTGAGAGGGCAGGGGCAGGAAGGACAGTGATGGTGGTGGTGCTAAACCCGCTGAGGGATGAGGGGGCAGTGACCATCACAAGGTGGGTGGTGGGGTGTGGTCTGAGGGCTGGTGGTGAGGATTAAGTGATATTATGTACCTACAGGGGCACACAGTAGGTGCTTAGCGAATGGGAGCTGCTTTCATTAATCCAGTTACGATGACGTTCACATGGTTCCTGGCCTGGTCACAGGACAGAACCTAAAACCAGGAATGTGCCAGAACATGTGGGGCAGGATTTACATGCTCGTTTCTAGCAGGTGTGGTGCCGGCAGGGCCTGCTTAGTCTCTTTCTGCAGGACCCAGACACCCTGCTCTCGGGTGTGGTCCCACCAGGCCTCTCAAGAGCAGGAGGGGGGGGCGGACGACAAATGGGCAGACGGGAGTTTGGGCTGAGCACAAGGACACGGGCCTGTCCTGGGGTCACGAGCAGCCCCTGAATGTCACAGTGATGTCTGGTGCGTTCCCTGCGCCAGCAGGCCCAGGTCCCTCACTCCTGACTGGGTGGTAGGAGCATGAAGGTGGTGAGTGGGGTGTGACCGTGGGTGTTGGGGTAGACCCCCAGAGGTGAAGGCTCCCAGGGCAGCCCCTAAATTTCAGGCCTGGGAACTTCCTGCTCAGTGGCTCTGAGCAGCTGGGGACACTTGAGGGGAACAGGGCCCCTCCACTCGGGTGCCACAGCCGTCTTCAGTGGATGTTTGCTGCCTTTGCTGCCTGCCGTGTGCTAGTCATCCTGTTAGAAGCACCAAGTTCAGACCCTTATTGCCTGTGTGAGCTGCGGCCGGCACCGCCCCCCGAGCCTGTTCCTCAGCTGTTGGAAGGCATCACCTTCCAGGCAGAGCACCCGGGAAGGTGGATGACAGCGAAGCGCCTGGGAAAGTTTATGTGTTAGGACGCCGCAGGCCCCGTTTCAACCCGGGGTTCAAGTCCCTTCTTAGGAAAGCTTTTGCTAGGAGCTACGGTTATGTTGAGTGTCGATCCTTCTGAGTGCGTCGGATGTGTTTTCTGAGCAGTTCAGGCATTCATTCACACATACGTGCATCCATGCTCCCGGTCAGTGGGTCTTTGCTTCCGACTCCATGCTGGGCAGGGCCATTAGAATGGCCAGTGATGCTGGTCGGAGGAGGGAAGTGACGCAGCAGCTCCAGCGGCTTCCCCTGGGCTCCCTGACACCTGGCCAGGCAGGGCTGACCAGGGTGCTGGTCCTGCTGAGCGAGGCCAGTGCGGTTTGCACCCGAGTAGGCAGGGCGCTGCACACAGTAGGTGCTCAGTGACAGGACACAGGGAGACTGCCTGGGAAATCCCTGGAAGCCTCTTACCTGGCCAGTGTCCAGCTCCGCCCCCACCTCAGCTTCCTTCCGTCCTTAGAATATTGCTTCTGTGAAGCAGCCAAGTTCACAGTTAGCCCAGGGAGTTTAACCATGGCCGCCTCATGCCCATCCCAGAAGTTGTGTAGCCTCTCCGGGCTGTGGCTGACTGGCTGGTCCGAGAGCTGGAGACAGGCAGTGTCTTCATCGCGCACACAGCCCCACAGGACGGCACCTTATTCCGGGCCCAGTGGCTGAGTGGGGGCGGGTGCCCCTCAGGGTGGGCTGTGCGGGGAGCCCTGTGGGCCGAGGGAGAGCACGCAGTCCCCTCGCCGAGGGTCCCATTGGCTGTGCTCCAGAGGAGCAAGGTAATAAGGAGCAACTTCCACTTACCGTCGGTATAAATCCCACAATCAGGAAAATTGCTTCAATTGCTAAAAACGCTGGTGGAAAAGTCCATTTATTTTTCATTTTTCTTGTGCACTTGCCACCCTCATGCATGAATCACTGTCGGTTTGTAGATTAAATTTATACCCCGTTATCTTTCACGTCGCTGGGGCGCTGGTGTCAACTGGGTTTCTGGTTACCGAAAGCCACTGTCTGCCTTGTGGTGGCGAGAGTGGCCCGCTCTGTCCGTGGGTGGCCACTGGGCGGGGGGTCTCCTTTCTCCTAGTCTCCCCACAGGCCCCCTTCAGCCCCTGCCCCTCCATCTTTTGGCCGCAAGGGAAGACTTGCTTTTGGAAAGTCCGGTTCTCCTCAGGAGCTGCTCTGCCGCGGCGCTCGCACCTGGATTTGGGTGCTTTACTTAGGGTTTGCAGTGAGCATGGCGCAAGGGCTCCTGTTATTTTGAACACCTGCTTTGAGAATTTGGCCTGGACTGGATACAAACATGATAGGCATTTTGAAAACATGCTCTGAGAACACATACTATACGGGCTTCCTTCCTCTCTGTTCCCCCAATCTCTCTCTCTCTCTCTCTCTCTCTCACACACACACACACACACACACACACTCACAGGATAGAGCCGGTGCCTGCCTGCTTCCCTTTTGAATGCAGGCAATGTGGTTAGATGGCTGGTGTTGAGAAGCCTGGTTCTCACCTGTGTCCTGGAAGGTACAGAACTGTCTAGAACTGATAGTATACTTTGTTCTCCATGCTCACATTTAGCCATTTCTGTGCATATCCTCTGAAAACATGCTTGTTTATTCTCAGATTTATGATTCAACAAATGCTAACTCTATTTTTCGGGATTGGACCCCTTTGAGAATCTGTTGGAAGCCCAAGTCCCTCTCTGGATGCACAGTTTTGGAAAACTTGAGGATGGTTTGAAGAGCCCCATCCTGCTCGCTGTAGAGACCTGCTCCATGCACCCCCTTCCTGCCCCCAAGAAAACCCTGAGCCATCCCAGGAGCTCAGAGCTCTGCAGTCCTCCCAAGCCAAACTCCTCAGCCCCTCACACCCCAGCACCCTTCCCAGACCTTGTCTCAGAAGAGCAGTCCCCTGGGCCACACTCCTGGCTCTCTCAGGGTTACCCATCTAGACTTAGAGACCCCCCCAATTCTCTCTGTGACATGTCCTGGGAGGGGGACTTCTGAAGCCACAGCTGGCTCGCCTGCTCCAGGCCCTCAGCCCCCAGCAGGTATCATTACTGCATAAGAGACCCATCATTCTGCATTAATCTGGGATTCATCATGATAGCCATGACCATAATTAATTTATTTGGTATTAATGTGGATGAAATATGTACTGTCCTTTCAGGGGAAATCAGGCTGCCTATAAGCATTAGTTAAAAGGACCATTAAAATCAAACCTTCCCCAGATCCATTAGGCGAAGTCTTTCATCCTGAAGAAGATAAAGTTGTGCTGTGTGAAATGTCATGAATAATTAGGTTGATTGCTGTTTTAAACTCTGCCCCTGCCTCCCCACCCCTCCCGCCTCCCTCCTGAAGCGGGGGAGGCTCACCTGCAGCGGAGTGGCCCCCTCCATCGCCCATGTCTGTACTGGCCCCCAAGTCCCTGCTGACCTCTGTGGCTGCTCCTGTGGCCTGTGTGTCTGTGGCTAGAATGGGGAAAGGAGCTTAAAGGACCCCCGATGGGCTGTTTGCGAGATGTATACATCTCCTCCCTTCCTAACTGGGCCCAGAGTGGCTGCAGGTGCCTTCCTCTTGCCTCAGTGCTGGTCCGGAGAGGGGTAGACCAGGGAGGGGTCGGAAGTGGCATTTTCCAGCCAGGTCTGCAGACTCCCTGCCCTGAATGGCACAGGGATATGAACATGCAGCTTCTGGGCCCACCCTGGACCACATCCCAGGGGCTGTGCATGGGAAGGGGATGGAGGCTGGCACGGGGGCGAGGAGGTATGGTTGTGCAGGATGGAGGGGCGAGGCAGGAGAGGGAGGGGAGGGCCCTGCTCTGCTGCCCAAGTGCAGTGCCTGGCACTCCATGGGGGACATGCATGTGCTCTCTCCCTGCCACATGGGCTCCTCCTGTGGGAGCTCGGGAAGAGGAACTTTTCCAGCTGCCTGATGCTCACCAGTATGAGCACAGCAGTGGCCCGTGGGCTGGTCTTCTAGGCCTCACCACAGAGTTGGAGAAACCAGGAGGCGGAGGGTGAAACGGCCTGCCCGCAGGGGACATAGACAATCCTCCGTTGGGTGAATTGACGGGTGGACAGTTTGGAGCCCTGGGGTGTCATGTCAGCCTTTGAAAGGCACAGGAGAGACTAGTTCTGATCCAGTCCCTTTATTTTGTGGTTAAAGAGCTCAGACACAAAGCAGTGAGGTCAGTTAGAGGCTGGGGGACCAGATGGTAAGCACTGGGTGGTCCAGGAGAGGGGCTGATGGGAAATGGGAGGAAACCATTAGCCCCCTGTGCCCTAATCCTTTCATGCTGTCCTGACAGGCGCTTCGGCACAAAATGCACGGCCTGCCAGCAGGGCATCCCCCCGACCCAGGTGGTCCGCAAGGCGCAGGACTTCGTCTACCACCTGCACTGCTTCGCCTGCATCATCTGTAACCGGCAGCTGGCCACGGGGGATGAGTTCTACCTCATGGAGGATGGGCGGCTGGTGTGCAAGGAAGACTACGAGACAGCCAAGCAGAACGGTAGGTGGCACTGCCCTGCAGTCCCCCCCAGGCATTTGTTCAGGCCGGGCCCTCTGAGTCCCTCAGAGCCCTGCTCACACCTGCCTCCTGAGATCCGCCCCACATCTCAAAAGGGAGTTAATTCTCAACACCCCCAGTCCTTTAGCGCAGCGGTTCTCAACCTGTGAGTCACGACCATTGGAAAACACATATAGCATATCAGATATTTACATTATGATTCATAACAGTAGCAAAATTACAGTTATGAGGTAGCAACGAAAATAATTTTATGGTTGGGGGTCACCACAACATGAGAAACTGTATTAAAGGGCCGCGGCATTAGGAAGGTTGAGAACCACTGCTTTAGCGCTTGCTGGTTCATGGCAGCTTTAAGCAAGTATGGTTAGTGAGTGCACCGGTCATCCACACTGGGCTCAGGAGCAGCCAGGGGCCGCCTGTCATTATCTGGGTGGCTCCTGCCTGGGGCTGGGCTGGGAGGGTGTTCCGCCTACAGTGGACACTTGGGCGTACTCCTTGGTCTTGTATATTGGGGGGCATACTTACCTCAGCACCTATTGGCCTATCACTTTGGACTCCAGTCAGCTGTGCTCCATTTCCCCTCATGAGGTAAGGACTTAGGGGTGAGGACCCCTCATGTCTCCTGAAGCCCCGATGCAGGAGCCAAGTGCTTACTGAGCCAGTGTCCACACTCAGCCGCGGAACTCTCCCCTGCCCCCCCACCTTCCCCAGCCTCCTCAGAGTCATTGTCCAGGGTCTGCAGCAGAAGCCCAGGCTGACATTGATGTCAGGCCCAGCATTTCACACCTGGAAAACCTGCCTTCACGTGGGCAGATGGGCAGCAGCTGCTCCTGCCCTCCAATGCCATGTTCTTGGGCAGCCCCGAGCCTTTCCAGGGCCTAGACTGGGCTTGGACCCCCATTCCTCCGAGCTCCCCTCAGGAAGGCCAAGCCCAACACTCCCCTCCTGCAGCCCTCCTTGGGCTCCTTACACACGGCTGTGTCCACAGGGGGTGTGCCCTCCACTGGCTCCAAATATGGCATCTGGCCAAACCCAACCTGGGCATCTCAGATGCACAAACTCACAAAACACCAAGGTTGTTTGCCTTTGACTAGGATTTCTATCAGCTCAGGGTATCGCTGTGGAAAGCGGCTCTTGTTGACAGCTCTGGGCTTGATGGGGAAAGAAATAGCAACAACAGTGTCAGTATCTCCTTCTAGAGCTTTCCTGGGCCCCCACACACGTCATAGAGATCTGATCACTACATGGGGAAATTAGTTTTCTGCTCTGTATATGCAGTTTGAAATGAAGGGTGCGCGGTGGTGAGGAGGCAGAGGTAATCTCGGGGGTAGCCGGCTGGAGCCGAGCCTGGCTTTGGTGGAAGGTGGGAAGGGGTGCTGAGTCAGGGGCCTCCTGTCTCTCTCTCCTCCCACCACCCCCACCTCGGCCTTTTGGGGTGTACAGGCCTTCAGTCTCTTTCTCTTTCTGGGGCCTCTGTAACCCCATTCTAGGCTCTTTGCTTTAATGGATTTATCTGCTCTGGTTCCTTAAAACTCACTCGATGCTGTTGCTTTGAAGTCAATTATGATGTCACAGAAGATTAGGGCGTCTTGTCAGGGATAAACCATCAGAGCAGATGGACTGCGGGTCCCACGCTGCCGTTGGAGCGCTGATGCCCTTCAGCAGATACCGAGTCTGCACGGCCTCCCCCGGGGCCGGCTTGTTGTCAGAGGCCTCGTTCGGGCCCCGAGCACACCTGGCCTGGTGTCCTCCACTGCCGGTGGTGCAGGGAGGGGCTAACACTAAGCAGACCCGCAGGACCATGGAGAGACATGCGATTTAGCCTCAGAACCTGGGGGCCTCACTGCTGGGCCACTCTCAAGTCAGGGTCCCTTCTCAGCTCTCCAGGGGGGACCATAGCACCTGCCACATAGGGCTGTTTCCTGAGCTTAAATAGGAGAAAGCATGTGGAATGGGATGTTAAGTGAGGGTGAGACCAGCATGGAGGAGAAATGCGAACAGGGAGGTGCGATCCGCTTAGGTTCTCAAGGAGCTGAAGGCTACATAGTTCTGACGGGTTCCTCTGTCTCCGCTGGCAGTGAAGCTGGGGCCACGCCGCTCCATCCTGTGAATTCGGGGTGATGCTGAGGGCAGCAGGGACCTTTGTCTGCTCTGGGACATTTGGCTCTTTTTATGTTTTAAGTCCTCCTTGCTAAGCTACACCCTCTTTCAGGCTTATAGTTCCCTCCCTTGTGCTACACAAAGGATCTGATATCAGCTGTTTGTACTTTAGTGTGAATGATTTTGTTCATTTGTTTTGCCACCCTGGATATCTGCATTTTCAATATGATGAGGTTGTATTTTGTGCCAGGGACAAGTGCTAAGAGACCCTGAATAATTCAAAACTAACCTATTTTAAGGCTAATTTTCCCATAGGAATTAATGTAAGAAGTAAGGGAGGGATGTATTCTGGGAGCACATAAATCCATAACCGGTAAGATGTATCTTTGCCTTAATGCTACTTTTTATTTTCTCAGCTCTGTCTCTAATACCTTGCAGAATGCTCTCTCCTAAATTAACAGCCCAGGGTATCATGGTCTTGCTTGGCCTTCTTCATAGCCTTTTATCACATTTAACTTCCGTACCAAAGTTATTGATTTTTGGGTGCATTTTTCAGCATGAGCACGGCCACCACTACTTAATGAATACTTGGATGACATTATTATAGGATATAAAGAAGATTTTAAATTATAATAACAGTGAATGTTAAAATAACAGCATAATAGCCCCCATAATTGCAAGAAGAAGGTCCTGTGCAGGTGGACAGCAGTGCGGAAGCCATGCCCACCAGCCAGGATGACAGGGCGTATCCCAGGGGCACTGCCATCTGGTTGTGATGAGAGCAATTTCTAATTCACTAGGGCAGCCTACTTTGACAGTAAGCAATTCTCAATGAATTAAAATTTTTTGGTGGTTTCACTATTTCAGATTTTATATATAAAGACTGTATAGGTATTTTAAAAGTGCACTATTTGATATCTGCTATCATGCTGGCATCTCTATAAATATGGGCAGAAGGCTTGATTCCCTAAAACAGAATTAAGTAGAGTTTTGGAGGTTTTCCTGTGTCTGCCACAGTGGCTCTGGAATCCTTCCACTCTGGGTTCAGGACTCCAGGGAGGGGTCTGGGTGGTGGGCTCTGGCCCATAATTTATGAACATCTGTAGATGACTGGTGAATGCGTGGGCTACCCCTGCGAGGGGCCCTAGAAGGAGGGACAGGGGCATGTGGGACAGCCCTGAACCCAGACTTTAGCTCCTTCACCTTATCGGTCATACTCACAAGGAAGTCCACCAGAGTGTTGGGCATGACAGGAGATGCGTGGAATGGAACACTTCCAGTCTGATGGGAGGGGACAGGGAGGCCGGACAGGGGACGATGGTGTCCTTACTTTTAAGTCACTTCGGAAAGCCTGTGGTGCAGGAGTGGGCCACGCCACTCTGCCTCCCCACTGTTCTGCCCATAGCAGGCAAGATCACATGTGAGGAAAGGAGGTGGACGAGACCCAGGAGCTTCAGGTGGGCTGAACTCAACCAGTAAGGTTTTTATTGCAGATGACTCAGAGGCAGGAGCTAAGCGGCCCCGGACCACCATCACAGCCAAGCAGCTGGAGACATTGAAGAATGCCTACAAGAACTCTCCCAAGCCTGCCCGGCACGTGAGGGAGCAGCTGTCCTCAGAGACGGGCCTGGACATGAGGGTCGTACAGGTGAGACACCAGCTACCTGGCCCAGTACTCATTTGCCGCCTAGGGAGCCGGGGCCCAGTGACACTCCTGGGAGGCCCAGGGCCAGTCTGTGCCCTCTACATGGGAAGGCATGGGAGTGGTATACATACCATGTCACTGATCCTTTTGGGGACTTGGGGCTCGGGGCCATGATTCTGGGGAACTTGCCAAATTGGAGATGTCTGAGGCTCAGGCAGAGGGAGCCATGGGCACAGTGTACTCCTGGCCTTAAACTCCAGTCCCTGTCTCCAGCCACCTGGGGGCTGTGGGGTTGGGGTGGGCATCCTCCGAATGTGTGCCTTGTGCTTGTGTGGCAGGTTTGGTTTCAGAACAGAAGGGCCAAGGAGAAGCGACTGAAGAAGGACGCAGGACGGCACCGCTGGGGACAGTTCTATAAGAGTGTCAAGAGGAGCCGGGGCGGCAGCAAGCAGGAGAAGGAGAGCTCTGCAGAGGACTGTGGGGTTAGTGACAGTGAGCTGAGCTTCCGAGGTGAGCAGGGCTGGAGGGGCGAGGCACAGTGATCCTTGACATCCAGGAGGGATTTTCTTGAGGCCTGGACAACTCCCTCCTGGACACAGGCTCCCCACTGCCCCTGGCAGTAATGGGTGGGGGAACATGGAGTGGCCCTGTAAGAGAACAAGAGAGCTCTGCTGCTGAGATGTGCAAGCTGGTTCCCTAGCACCGTGAGCCCCAAGGCCTCCCCTCCTGCTGACTGGGGCTCCCTCACCACCCCGTGCACCTGTGAACAGAGCCGGGTCTCAGCCTGTGCCCTCAGCCCCTCTGCAGGGGCCCTGGCTCCCTCCCAGGATTCCTTAGTGACCCCTTTCTCCACTCCTGATGGGGAGGACATGCTCTTCAGGCCCTGTGCCCTGGGAAATCACTACTGTGAGTGCATGTGAGATGGGGAGCAGCCTCACTTCTGAATCCCTTCCCCTCTGTGCACTTTATCCTGCCCCCGCCCACGCACAAATGCTTTGGAGCATGCGCTAAGTTCAAATTGGTGCATCAGCAACGTTGCAAATGACTGTGTTTTGAGTCCTTATGTTGTTTGCAAATAGCCGTAACTATTCTCCTAGCCTGAGTCCTCAGAGCTGGGGTCAGAAATTGGGTTTCCAGTTGTGGCTGTCACATGGATCACTTCTTGAGCCTCAGTTTCCCCACCTATAAGTAGGGAATAACCACATCCTTGCCCATCTCACAGTGGTGTTGTGGGGAGTCAATGAACACAAATGACTCTGGATGTGTTTGGGAAAAGCCCAGCAGATGTTTAGCCTTGGAAGGGACGATTGTCCCCACGGGGAGCCTGTGGCTCCCTCAGAGGGCCCTGGTTCTCTGGGATGACAGGTATATGCAAAAGGCCAAACACTGGCCATTTTATGGTGAAGCTGAGCCTTCACCTTCCTGCCCCTTTAAAGAGCCTGGATAGGAACTGATGCACAGGCCCAGGTGGGGAATAGAAAAGTCTCTGGGGCAGAGGATAGAACAAGCTGCTCACCTGAGGGGATGGTAGCTCAGCCTAGAGGTCTGTCCTGGGGCCCCGGGATGGCTCAAGGGCCTCATGCTCACCTCCTAGCCCTCTTGGCAGGGTTAGGAAAGCCACTTCATCTCATTTGAGCTGCTGGAATCCATGTCGGGAACATACAGGATTGCCAGGTCTCATTTTGTAGCTCCTTTCTTTTGGGTGCAGGTGGGCTCCCAGGGTGACATATCATTGCTCTCTCTGGCTAATTATGTATTTCTTAAGATTAAAACGGCCACCTCTGTTGGAGAGGTGACTTCTTCCAGGTGGCAAAGATCCTGTTAGATCCCCTTAGTGAAATTCTCTCAGAAACAAGGTCCATGTGTCTTAATCAAGTCAACACTGTCCCCAGTGAAGACTGTATTAGACAAACCAAGTCATTTGCTATTGAATCTCTCCCAAGTAGACCAGAAGAACAGTGTACACATGTCTAAGAGTGGTCCTCAGCTACCCTTACCATATGGGCCTGCTTGTTTCCCAACCAGCCAACCCAAGCACATTACTTAGCCTGAAAGCGTTCAGATTAAATCTTGTCAGCACAGAGTTTCCACCGTGATGTGAGGCATTCATAGTCCTCAGTGTAGCCAGAGTATCTTAGTTCGTGAGTGACATGGGACCAACACACTCACCAAACACTATCCAAACTTTTGGGTCCCAGGAATTTAGTCTCTGCAGGTGTTTCTTCTATTTCCCTCCCTTGATGTGGGTCAGTCTTGGGCTGACATGATGGTGTTTGATCCCTGCTTGGCAGCTGTCTGTCATCCTCGGGCTTCTTTCCTGGTCGTGTATTCCTACCTAGGTTGTAAAGAACAGGAACATTGGAATCCTGTTGGCTGACAATAAATCTCCGTTCTTTTGTCCACAGAGGATCAAATTCTCTCAGAACTTGGCCACACCAATAGGATTTATGGCAACGTGGGGGACGTTACAGGCGGACAGTTAATGAATGGGAGCTTCTCCATGGACGGGACAGGACAATCCTATCAGGACTTGAGGGATGGGAGCCCCTATGGAATCCCCCAGTCTCCATCCTCCATATCGTCCCTGCCGTCCCACGCTCCTCTGCTCAATGGGCTGGATTACACAGTGGACAGTAATTTGGGCATCATTGCGCATGCAGGGCAGGGAGTGAGCCAGACGCTGAGAGCCATGGCTGGGGGACCCACCTCTGACATCTCCACAGGAAGCAGTGTAGGCTATCCCGACTTTCCAACTAGCCCAGCCTCTTGGCTCGATGAAATGGATCATCCTCCGTTTTAAACATCTGTCCTCCCCACCCTACCTGTCCTTCTGGCTTGAGAGAATATCTTCAAGGATCAAAAGAGACTTACCTTTTTAGGATCAAATGCGCACCAATGTGAATTTCCATTATTTTCAATGGAAGTCCTCTGCTGATCCCTAGGAGGTCACCGCACTAGGGTGCTGTTCTCCTGGGGAAATGGTGGGGGAGCAGCCTCCTCTCAGAACAGCACAGGGCGCAGAGCCTAGAGCGCTAGGGTGCTGGCTTATGCTCCCTCCCCGACCCTGCTTACAGGCTTTGGCTGCTCAGTGCTTGGCAGCAGGAGGCGACTGTGAGGCCACCCTGGCCTTAGGGAACTCTGCTCCAACTGGTATGTCTCATGAGATGCTTCCCACACCAGTGCTCTCGCCAGAACTGAGATTCTGGTGATGTCACAGCCCTTAAATATAAGAAAAGTGATTTCTGAACCACCCTTATCAAACCCTAATTTTCAAAATAAAAAAGGTCACTTACTAAAGGTCAGTAGAAACTTTGATGGCCACAGTTTGATAGAGACATGCCCCTCCTTTCTCTTCTGCTGTGAAGAATGACCTCTTCCCTCTCCAGAGAATATCTGTCAGTTTGGGTTTGTGAGCAGTCCCATCAACATCACTGAATCCATCCCTGATGGCAAGAAGTGGTTTTCGTTGCAGGTGACTCTGAGGCTGGAGCTGAGTGGCCCTGGACCATCACAGCGACTGCCCGACGAGTCCCCTTGGAGCACAATGTGCCTTTTTAATTTGCTCATATCACTTATTCCACTAGACAGGCTGTGGCTTACACAACGATCAAAGCTAAAATATGGAGAGACCAGAAAGACAATCAGTGAGAACATTTGTAGACCCATTTGGATTCCAAGCGTGCAGTCCATTTAGCCAAATCAGCAGATGCCAGTCTCCCAGAGTCCCCGCTCCTGCAGGGGAAATGATATTGTGAGTTTGTTTTGAGGTGGTTAGTTTAGATGAGTTTGCAAGTCCACACCCACCTACAGCCAACCCTCCCTAGCCCTTTAAAAAGGAGAGCTTTCTCTGCTGTGCTAGCTGGCTCAGTTGGAGGACAGTCTTGGCCTCTTCCAAGTACTAGCAATGCTTTTTGGCTGGGAGCCATCATTTAGGGAGCAGCCCTAAAGTTGTCAGAGTTCCAGGTGGTCCTTGGGCTGCATCTCCCTGGGTTGCTGGCTGGCCTCACACCAGGCCCTGTGGTGCTCCAGCCCTGCACTTGCTCAGAAAGGGGAGCTCTCCAGCCAGTGGCAGTGCAGACTCAGCTTATGGGTTTCAATAGCACATCACCAAGCCCGAGGCAAGGGCAAGGCCAACCCCTGCTTTGTGAGCTGCCAGCCCTGCGACAGACTGCACTTCGGTGGGACATACCGTGGTGAAGGTGCCGTGGCTCCTACTTAATGCACCACCCCTCAACCTTGCAGGAGGTTCTCCATGTGCACACTGGAAATTAGCCAGGGGAATTTATGTGTCCCCTGGGAAATGGTGGTTTACTTCTCTGGCCTCCTGTTTTCTTAAGATCAGCAGAGTAGGGAAAGGTAAGAAAGGCATTACCCTTTTCACGTGAAGTGATGGGGCCCAAGACCCTAACCACCCTTTCTTTCATGTCTGTCACGTTTTGAAGGCTGCAAAGATATAAGAGCGTGCTAGGTAGACTCAAGGAAGAAATAAACCTTCCTCCTTGGCTCCTGCATCTTCTGCAAATGCCTTCTGAGGACTAAACTACGGGCAGTTAAGCTTCTTCAAACTGTATAATCAGTAAATTCCTGGGGTCAGCCTTCAGGCCACCTTTCCCTGATCAGTTCTGTAGCGGACCCTTATTTTCTGACAGGCTGCAATTGTCGTGATTTTTGCTTGGGGAGTCCTGCAGATGCAGGATTTCTTCTTGAGGCTCCAGGATTAGGGATGCCAGAGGGTGAAGCCCAGACAATTCCCAATACAGTGAACAGTGGGGATGGCAATAAAGACTCACAAGAAAGGCATGTGCCGCAGTCTTCTGGGAGGACAGGTTCTTGAACATACTGTTCTCAGCAGGCAGCTCTCAGTGCACAGGAGGACTGTGTTGGGCAATGAACCAGTTAAAGACTGTCCCCCCCAGACCACTGTCGCAGCTCCGTTACTTGGCGTAGGAGCTCCTGGGATCTCAAGGTACTGCCTGCTTTTGGTGGTTACCAGAGGCAGCAGACTCAAGGAACATGGCCCTCTGGGTAGCACTGTTTCTTTAAGATCAGTTGAGCAGTTTTTGTTTTGTATGCAAGTTAATCAAGCTCATGCCTTATTCAATGGTTGGAGAACGTGCTAATAACAGTCTCCTGAGAACTCAGTGAGCGGGGCAGCTGGTGTTGGTGGGCTGCTTTGGTGTTGGTGGGGCTGGCTAGCTATACTGGCCTCAAAGCTGGGAGAGCTGAGTTCCCCAGAGCCTCCTCCCAGAGAGCAGCAAACACTGGCGCTCCGTGTAGAAGCACAGCCAGGCCAGGCCTCAGATTCTAAGTGGCTCTCCTTGCAAGTGCAGTTAGCATTCTAGAGGACTGGTGCCACCAGTGAGCCACTGTGTGCCAAGACTGTTCCTTGGCTCTTCTGTGGCTGGAGATGGTGAGCACACACTGTACCTTGAGAGCTTCCTCCATTGCTCAGCGGTCTGTGACTGAGGTATAAGGTGCCTCCTGGGAGCTGCTTTCTCCCTTGCTAAAGTGACATGGACACATCTGAAAAATGAAACAAGACCTTCTAGAGCAATTTACATCATTTGAATCTGTCTGTGGCTCTAAGAGAGCAATTACAAGTAGCAACATTCATCTGAGCACCTGGCTGATAGACCTTGGGATAGGAGGTTTCTGAATTCAGGAGCAAAATAATAATTAAAAACCCAGCAACACCTAAGCTTCCAGTAGTAGCTGGTATAAGCAAAAATGGGACACACGGGGCTATGGAAGAATCTCTATTTTCAAAGAGAAATAAAACCACAGAAGAAATCCCGATGCAAAGCTAAGCCAGCCCACCTGTTAAATCACATTATTGGGAAGACTGGTCCTGGACCTTTCAGGGACTTGCTGTGCCACCTGAGGCAAACTCCTTTCTGTCTCTGTGCTTTCTTTTTCTCGCCTCAGCTAATAGTTAAAGAATATAATAGAAAGTGCAAATCAACTACCATATTGATAATATTATTCCTGCAAATTAATACAGTGAAATGTCAGGGAAAGAGGACAAAATTAAGACATAAGAAAAGCATTTAGCCCTAGCCAGTTTGGCTCAGTGGATAGAGTGCTGACCTGCGGACTGAAGGGTCCGGGTTTGATTCCGGTCAAGGGCACGTACCTTGGTTGCAGGCTTGGTCGCATGCAGGATGTCTCTCTCTCACATTGATGTTTCTCTTTGTTTCTCCCCCTCCTTTCCACTGTCTAAAAATCAATGGAAAAAATATTCTTGGGTGAGGATTAACAACAAAAAGAAAAGCATTTAGCTGTGTTTTTAAGGTTTTTTTTTTTTTTTGCCAATGCAAAACACGAAATCTAATAAGATAATTGAGGGCCATTCAATCTTCATAATTAAGTTCACTTTGCAAGAAGTAATCTGTAGATATGAAAGATATGACCACCTCTTGAGGCTCAAGCTGGTTATTTTGAAACAACTGCCTCCTTGCTGGAGTGGGTTGAAGGCTTCAGCTGAGCAAAAGCTGTGTTATGAGCGACCATGCGTCCAGCACCCACTCTCCCTTCCAACCTCTCCCACATGCCACTACTGACAACTTGGTTCTAACTGTGGAAATGATGACCATACCTCTTCAGCCAGCAGAGTCTGGAAGGACTGAGGAGGCTCATTTTTAAACATTGCACTTTAAAAATTGGAACCCGTGAGATGAAGAAAAATCCAATTAAGCGGAAATGAGTTCTGTTTTATTGCCTGCTGCTGAAGGGCTCTGGGCACGCTGAAAGCGAAATAAAAAGCACATCACTGGCTCTCTCTTTCTTGGATTGGTCAATTGGCCCTTTTTGCAGTAGTTGCTCCAACTGTCTCCCACAGTGACAGGAGCCAAAAAGAGAGAGCTCAGCAAAGTCATCCCACCCACACTCTGCTTGGTAGGCCCACGAAAGCACAGTTTCATGCTGCTAGCTCTGGGAGGAGACAGCTGCAGGTCTGGAGGTGTGCCAAGCGTTCCTTTGCTTAGGGAGGCAGAGCTCAGGTGGACAGAGAAGGACACCCTCACTCTTACTGCTGCCCACCGAGACACAAAATCATTTGTACTCCCTCACTCGAGGACTGTGTGCAGCCAAATGGGCAGGTTCGGGGCTGCAGGATCCCAGATGCTGCTCTGAACTTGCATTCAGACCTCAAAGCACCTGCTCCCCTAAGCTCTGGATTGTTGCCCTCACCCTTCCCAGTGTACATTTTGTACAGTGAAAAGAAATGAAGTCTCATTTGCTGGAAAAAAAGGAAAAAAGAAAAAAAAAAGGACCCACCCATCCTTATTTATTGCCATGTGACTTTGGAACAGAAGCTGGTGCGTTTGTTTGTATATGCCTCCTGTGTGTTGGCATGAGATGTGTATGGTAAAACTATGTTAAATAAATATGGATGTTCTTTAGAAGCTGGTGTGTCTTGGTTTTCATTTAGTTTTCTCTCTTGACCTAAATCAAATGCAAAGCTGTGCTGACATGGGACCCTTTTATCACCAGAAGAAAACCCGAAGTACAACTCCGAATGCCAGAACTACTTACATCCATAAATACCAGAACTGCTCAGTGAAGGGTTGGTTAGAGTTCTCCGATTTCTCTTACAGCCATGTTCTAGGGCCCAATCCTCTGTTCCTAGACTTAGGGAATGGGCAGAGAAACCTGTTGACTACATACTTTTTAGTTAGTTTGTCCTTCACACTTCACACATTTTCTTCCTTGAGAAAGTATGTGCAAATGTCTACATTTGGGTGAGAGGTGGACAGAGGGATAGAAACACCTCATCAGAGTCATCAGGGCTCTTAAACAAGCTTTTCTAGGAAAATCTCCATTCAGACTTTTTCTCCGCAGGAGGCTTTATTAGTGTGCCGGACCTGAAGTATAGTGAGGATGGAAAGAGCAACAGAGATTCTTTAAAAAAAAAAAAAAAGAGTCATAGCCTTTCTTTAGAGCTGGGGTCCCAACTAGGAAAAACTAGAGAATGCCTTTTCCATTAGTGATTAGTAGTTCTGTTTGGTTGAAGAGAAGATCCAAGCAGAGGTGTATTGTCCAATATGGTAGTTACTAATCACGCACGGCTATTTACATTTAAACTGCTTAGTATGAAGTGAAACGAAGTTCATTTCAGTCCCTCACACTAGCCATATTTCCAGCACTCAAGAGCTACGTGTGGCTATGGTATTTGGACACAAATATCGAACATTTCTATCCCTGCAGAAAGTTCTACTGGTTAGTGCTGATGGCATCTGGCTCAGCAGCGACAGAGAAAACTCATCCATCACCTCTTTAGTTACTAGTTAACCTGGAGCACTTGGGGACGTATTCTGAGACTCCTCAGACAGTGGTAGTGACAACTGTCACATCTTGTGTGGCTTGTTTAGGTACAAAGCATGAGGCTGGGCTCTGGGCCTCAGTTCCTACGTTTTAGACTTACTTTGTGCCCCACAGTCAACCCAGTTAAACGGGAAAGGCAGTACCTTCCCAGGCAGGACCTCCACTGAGCTTCTTGGAGGGCTTAAAGGTCTTTCGTGGAGACCCAAATCTCTGCTCTGGTCCCTGGCCGAGTCATCTCCTCTGGTAAATACTTTACAAGGCTGAGAAAGGCAAAGGCCTTACTGGGTATGTGCCAAGGAAGGCTGAGGTTCAGAAGGACCTTACTGGGTGCAAGCAAGGGCGGAGAGCACCCACTGGGAGCGGGGAGTTTGGGTAGAGCAATAAGGAGGTGCTGCACATGAGGACTTTTGTTTCTTCCCTTGCTCAGTCGCTTGGGTGGTTGTTAGGGAAATTTGCCAAGTGGCTATGAAGGCCTCTGTTGCTACTAAATTCGATCACTTATCTGGGTATTCCCGAGAACTCATAATGGGGCTTGAGAGTTCTGCCAGTGCATGCAGTGGGCTATTGATTCTAACACTGTACACGATGTCTGTAGTCTATTCTCAAACCCTCGTCACAAGCTGTCTCTACTGAGTCTTTGTTTTCCAAACTCTGTCAGTTGCTTTGAGTGTATCAGGCTTGACGGTTCATTGGAATGTTTCCACTTGGTGTTCTAGTGCACCCTGATCCCACCACAGTAATCTAGTAGCAACGTTTTGGAATTATCAAGTAAGTTCTCAGCTCACAGAGGGAGGGAGGATCGGGTCCTTCTTTCTGGCTCGGTCACTGGAGACCAGCTCCTGAGCACGATTCTCTGACAGAGCCTTTTCAGAACGACAGCTGCTTAAAGAAGAATAAAGGAAAGAAATCACCAGCCAGAAAGAATGAAATAAAACTCAAACTCAGGAGAACTGAGGAAGGCACAACAGTCAGTGTTTGCACTGCTTGCCCTGCCTTCTTTCTCCTTGGGGCCAGATTCCACTCAGCCAAAGTCAGAAAAGGAGGAAAAGAAGATCAAAGGTAAGTCAGTATGTTGTAAATTTTAACCAATTGTCAAACTAGAAGTAAGAATCCTAAAAGGTGATCCTCAACGTTTCTGAATGTATTTCCTTAGATGTGCTATTTGAGACACAGTTTAAAAATTGTCCTTTACAGTCTAAACAGAAAATGGTTGCATCCCTTTGCCATACCTCTTTGGACGGATGCTATTTCAGTTTGGTCATTTGGAAATAAATCCTCGCCTTCCCTCTGGTCCTCTGCTGGATGTGCAGCGAGCAGCGGCGCTCGGTCGGGTGCTGGTGTGGGTCACGGCTGCCCCAGAGAAGCAAGCAATGGTTACCACTGCTGCTGAGGAAATACTGTGTTAGGAGGGAGAAAAAACCCAATGTTTATAAAATGGGGCCAAATCACTAAAAAGAGGAAACTTATTACCATCTTTCTAAAAGGAGTAATAAAAAGAATCCATCCAAACTATTAAACAGAGGTCTTCAAATCATCTGCACCTGCCCTGGGAGAGTACATCACCCCTTTCGGAGGGAGTGGGCTACTGACTGTAACACTTCTTTATAAATTTTTCTTTCCTTTTCTTCTCTCCTTTTTGTCCAATGTGATTTCAGGATTTTCCTTTAGAACCCTTTCCTTTGGCCTCTCCCCCATTAAACACAGACATTGAATGTAGGCATGTTATTAACTGGGATGTTATTCTGTAATTAAATGGACCAGTCACAGGCTGTCCCCGACAGTGCACTTGCTCCCACAGAAGGGGCTCCCAGGGCAGAAACGTTGCCACGTGACTGATGCACACCTTGGGTTATTAGTAACCACCGCATCGGCCAGAACTTCCAGGAACGGCTATCGCTGAAGCTGGGGGAGAGGTTTTGTTCTCTGTTTTTAAAACATTTATCTTTCTCTCACTTGCTTGCCAACCCTGGACCAGGATCTCCTGTTGCCTGGGAGGGGCTTGGGGATTTTGGAAAGGCTGGGAATTGCTTCCTGAAAGATAAAATACAGACCCCAAAGAGCAGTCTTGGCACACACACTTGGAGTTGGAAATAAAGCAGTTAAAAAAGGCCATTAAAATGGTAAATAGGTTTCAACAGATGGCTCCAGCACAGCAATGGAAAGTCCAGGCAAGAACTTTGGGGTTAAATCTCATATTTTAGTCACCTGGGACTAGCTTATTATTCCAGAAAAACAAACATCTGTCAAGTTGCCAGCTCCTCTCCTCTAACGTGGAGCCCTTGACCACTGTCTGCTCACTGCCAGCGGATGGGTAGCCGCCCGCAGACAGCCACCTCGGGAATCGAGAGTTGCTTTTTCGACACCTGTCAACTGCAGGGCTTAAGCTCACTCAGGCTAGAGGAATATGAGAACCAAGAGCTATATTACTGATGGGCCTGGACTTTTATACTCAATATGTGTGCTGGCTCTATTATTTTTTTTAGAATCATTTTAACATTTAATGCTTCTCAATTAAAGTGGTTTCCCTGAGTGGATGCCAAGCTTCGTTTAGAATGCGCATTAACCACTTTCCCCATCGGTAGTTAAAGGCACTGAGGGATTTAAACAGCAATCCACAGGTCTGTTCAGTCAAGGTTTGGCGGAATAAAGCAGATTATAAACAATAATATATGTCTTTCTCTTCTTTTTTTGGAAGGGTTCCAAACTCACAAACGGAGCTAAAGTGCTATAAACATATCCAGGTCTAAGCTTTGGGCTCTACAAATGTACTCCGTGAAAGCCACCGGCCCTGGTGGTGCCACTTTTTATCCCGTGTGTGTATGTGGGCACGTACTT